AAAAAAAAATACCCTTCATTGTCAGGCAAAGAAATTAGAGTGTCTTTCAGGGTACAGACTTTTTATGACCTTTAAAATGAAATAAGCCAATAAGTGAAACCTAAGCCGTGTTTCACTACATCCAACAGGAAAAAAAAGATGAAAAGCAAAATCTGGTATGAATAATAGATAAGGACAGGAAAGGAATTTTTCCATTTCCCCAGGTTTCCTTTTATTAGTTGTTAGTAGTATAGTGAACTGAACCAGAGCGAGGGCTAAATTACCTTTCAAAATCTTAGTCCTGAATTTTCCGACTAATCATAGCTAATCCTAACTCCTACATACCTCATTTCTGATTTTAGATAATATATATATTCATTCCCATATCCTAATTTCAAGTTCATTATCTTCAGCTGAATTTTTAAAGCACAGCCCATAAGCTTTTCTACCAGAGATACTCCTACTCTGTAAAATCCACTTTCTCCCCAAATCAAATCTAGAGTCTTGAACATTTGCCCACTTCATCAGAACATACAGTACTATCTTTCACCTTGTTAAAGTATGGTCAGTTTTAAAGAAAAGAAGGATAAATTCCATATAACTAGATTAATAGCAGCAGTTAGTGTGAATATTAAATTGTCTCCTTTCACTGTTCCCTTCTTCAGCAAATTTTGGTTTGCTATAGTATAAGAAGTATGGAAAATATATTGCTATGCCTCTATTCTTTATTGAAATTCTAAAAGCTGGGATCCATAAAATCAGATTTTAATATTCTGGTTTTGGTTGCATTTACAAGTAGAAATATACACATGGAACAATGATTGATTGAATCCTCATGTTTTAAATTTTTAAAATTCCAAACATATTCCCACCCCCACCTCCCAACTGGGATGAAGGAAATGCAATGTTTTAATGAAATGTTTTAAAAAATTAGGTTCCAGATATGAGGAAAGTCTTGTAACTGATGCATGACCCAGAGGAGTAATAGGGTGCCCTTTTTTTGAATGGGTTCAAGTGGTTAGACAGCCACTTTATAGTTCTCAGCCTTTAGACCAGGGGTCCCCAACCACCGGTCTGTGGACCAGTACCGGTCCGTGGCTTGCCAGCAAACGGTCCGCACAAACAAGCAAAGCCCCATCCGTGGGATGCAGGTAGCACACAAAACCACACACACTCTGGTCCGTGGAAAAACCTTTCACCATGGACTTGGTCCCTGGTGCCCAAAAGTTTGGGGACCTGTGCTTTAGACAACCTTTCTCTGGAATATTTTAATTTGGGTTTCTGCACTGAATTGAAGGCTGGGCCTGTGGCTTAAATGGTCCCTTCCAATTCTGTGATTCTAATTTGCATAGTCAAATTCTACTATGTAGTCAGTAATTCTTTAAAAAGAGTTAAACTGTAGACAGTGACTTCTGCAGGTAACCATTAAACAGTTGTGATTAGTCTTAAAGACAACACGAGACTGTGTAATATGTTCTTTATTTGAAGTGTTTTTTTCCTGGTGCTTCAAGTAAAGTGTGCTTATTTTGCTTGTGTTTTTTTCTACACAGAAAAAGGGAACCTGTATGCCACTGGGGGTAACAGTGAAGGACAACTGGGATTAGGAGACACAGAAGAAAGAAGTGCATTTCATCTAGTTAGTTATTTTACCAGTCAGCCCAAGATCAAACAGTTGGCAGCTGGATCCTACACATCAGCAGCATTAACTGGTGAGCCCAATAGTGACTTATATGAAAGTTATGCTGAACAGGAAGTTAGTTGAAAGTTTAAGTATTTTTCCATTAGGTCTTTATGGAAACCAAAAGTCAAAAATATTTAGTCTATGGAGGGCAAATATTTTTTCACAAAATAGGGTGTGAAATGCAGAAAGTAAGTGCAGAAAGTAGCATTTTTATAACCTTCCTTAAGCTTATAAAGTCCTTAAAAGGGCTATTATTAGATGATAGTTATGTACCCATAACTTGAATTTGATCACTAAAACTTAAACAATGGCCAAATAAACAAGTTCTAAAGACTATGAAATGGCTTAAAATGGTAATTTGGATATAAGCAAACAGTTCATTTTCCTCCCAGCTGGAACAAAAGTGAGACCATTGCAGGTTAACAAGGACATTTTGTAGTGTAAGCATCCTTACAGTTTTGTAAGTAATGTCCATAAATACATAGAAACATAGAAAACTGACAGCAGAAAAGACCTAATGGCCCATTGTGTCTGTCCTTTGAGGTTTTTTCCTTGTTTTTGTTTTGTTTTTGTTTTATTTTTTGTTGGATGATGGATGTGTGCTTATCCCAAGCATGTTTAAACTCAGTTACTGATGACTGATCCACTACCTCTGCTGGAAATTGGTTCCAAACTTCCACTATTTTTTCTGTGAAATAATACTTTCTAATATTACTTTTGAATTTCCTGTCAGTTTGTCGTTATGCCCCCATGTTCTTGATTTTTGCTTAATATTGAAAATACCGCCCTCTGGAACTTATTCAAACCCTTAATATATTTAAAGGTTTCAATCATGTTCCCCCACCTTTCCCTTCGGTCCTCCAGGCCAGCGGTCCCCAACCTTTCTGGCTTTGCAGACTGGCAGCAGTGGGGGGAGAGAGAAAATGGTTCCGTATGAGCAGCGGGTGAGTGCACTCACACATGCAGCTCCATTTGCAGCTCATGCAACTGGAGCTATGCGCATGCACTTGCCCGCTGCTTGCATGGTCTGGTTCCAAACAGGCCGCAGCCTGGTACTGGGCTGCAGCCCAGGGATTGGGGACCCCTACTCTAAGCTGTACATATTCAGTTCCTCCAGTCTCTCCTGACACGTTTTGTCCCTCAAACCTTGCACCATTTTTGTTGCCTGTCTCTGGACTCGCTCAATCTTATTAAAATCTTTTTTTAAGTGAGTCTCCAGAACTGGACACATTATTCTAAATAGGGTTTGACTAAAGTCCTATTTAGCAGGATTCAAACTTCCTTTTTCCTGCTGGTGAATCCCTGGTACATCCCAGAATTTTGTTTGCCTTCACAGCTGCCTGGACACACTGTTTACTTATGTTGTAGTTATCAGCAATGAGCAAACCTAAATCCTTTTCTTCTGTTGTTCTGTGTAGCACTATATCCCTAATACAATATGCCCTGTCATAATACAGAAGATGTCACTGAATTATGCATGTGAAACAATACAATTCATGTGTGCTAACAAATTTACCTCTGCTTTAAGTGTTGACCTGGCTTTTAAAATGCAAAAAAAAAATAAATCTCAAACCCATTTAATGTTTTCTCCAACTTGAATGAACTCTTTTTCAAATAAAGCAGTATGAGTATACTCCGTAGTAGGATCTTCACAAGATTTTGAATAACTTAATGAAGTTACCACCCCAGTGTCTTAGTTATAAGGGAAATGCTTCTAAATATTGTATCCTTTTTTGTAAAATTAATTTAAATTTTATCTGATGTAAGAGAGAAATAATTTCAGAGAGGGAAAACTCACAATTTGCCGTTATCCTTCAAATGTAACTCACTGACTATGAGATAATACACAAAATGGGAATTTTTATTGTTTCTGAACCTTCTCTCTCCTTCTATATTATAAGTTTCTTCTCTAGTCTCCATGGCTTTAAGCCTCATTTCCTTAGACTTTGCTTCTTTAAATAATTTGGAATTTTTTACAATAATAATCTTTCTTATTTTTAAGAGGATGGACAACTTTTTATGTGGGGAGATAATTCTGAAGGCCAAATAGGCTTGGGTAATGAAGCTAATGTATGTGTTCCTCATCAAGTGGATGTTGGGAAACCTGTTTTCTGGATCTCTTGTGGATATTACCATTCTGCCTTAATAACATGTAAGTGTAAAATTACTTATGTATGTTCAAAGTCCAATAATGTTGCTTGAAATTCTGTATTTGCCATAATATATGGTGCTGATCAAGTGGTACATCAGACACTTTTACAGCAATCTTAAATGGGCTAAATGAGGTTTCCCAAGAAATTAAAAAAAAAATCTTGGATCTAAAAGACCCAAAGCTATTATTTTACATTGCCTTCCCTGACCCCATGATATTCTGCTTCAGAATTTGGCAAGGGCTGTTGGAAGAATCACATTCACAGAGTTTCCAGGTATTTCCATAGTGTCATGGCTTCTTGCTGTTTGTAAATTTCTATCTGTTGATCTCCCTGATGAAGGAATTCCTCTTTGCCAATTGATCTCTCCAGAAAGCGTTTGTGATGCTTAGCATTGCGTGGTTTATTTTTCAAAAAGTTGAAGTTAGCTGTAGTTCAGAAGATACAAGTATAACAAAGAAAGTTTGCATAAAGTATTCTACAAATGAATGTCTTTTCTCCTTGTGTCATGAATCTTAATGTTCCCACTTTGTTTCCTATAGGTGATGGAGAACTTTATACTTTTGGGGAGTCTGACAATGGGAAACTAGGTTTGTCACTTGCACAACTGAAAAACAATAGAGTCCCACAGCTTGTTTCTGGAATTCCAAGTAGAGTTAATAAGGTTGCCTGTGGAGGAGGACATACAGTAGCACTGGCTGGTATATATGCTTCAGTATTTTTTCTGTTGCTTTCTAGTATATAATTGGTGTTCATACTCACCACTCTGAACAAATTATGATACAAGTAGTCTTCATCTTATAACCACAATTGGGACTTCCATTGCTAAGCAAGATGATTGCTAAATGAGTTGTGCCCAATTTTATTTGATTGTTAAGTGAATCACTGCAGTTGTTGAGTGAATCATGTGGTTGTTAAGTGACTCAACTTCCCCTTTGCTTGTCAGCTGGGAAGGTTGCAAAGTTATTTATTTTTCACATTTTGAACCATCCATCTCCCTCACAGAGGGACTCTGTGTATAATAAAAGGTGATCATGTGACCCCAGGACTGTAACTGTCATAAATATATGCCGGTTGAAGAACGCCCAACTTTTGATCAGGTGACCATGGGTATGCTGTGACGGTTGTGGGTGCAAGGACAGGTTGTAAGTCACTTTTTCAGTGCCATTATAACTTTGAACAGTCATTAAACAAAGATTGTAAGTGTGGGGCTACCTGTACTCACATATCTCTTAACACATTTTAAGCTGAACATCAAAGAGAGATCGTTAGTTGTTGCCATTTTATTTGGACAAAGTTCTCTCCTGTGCCTGACTCGCTTCCCCCCCCCCCTTTTGTACTGCCTCATAGGATATATAGATTGCTTAAACAAACTATCTCTTCCTGAGTTGTTTTTCTCCACAGCTCAGTGCTTCCCTAAAAAATGCTAACTCAAAGTTACAATGTTGAGTTTTTGGACCTTAATTATTATTAGTAGCACCCTCTGACCAGTTCTGCTGATGCCTTAAAATGACCAGAGTTTAATCAGTTTCAGCCTGAAGACCTTTGCTGGTGTAGTACAGGTAGTCCTCGACTCACAACATTTAGTGACTGTTCAAAGTTACAAAGGCACTGAAAAAAGTGACTTATGACTGTTTTTCACACTTACGACTGTTGCAGCATCTCCATGGTCACATGATCAAAATTCAGATTCTAATGACCGTTGCAATGTCCTGAGGTCATGTGATCAGCTTTTGAGACCTTCTGACAAGCAATGTCAATGGGGAAGCCAGATTCACTTAGCAACCGTGTCACTAACTTAACAACTTAGCAACATAAATGTTGGGCTCAATTGTCGTAACTCAAGGACTACCTGTAGATAAAGTGTTGGTCTAGAAACCCGGAGACTGTGATTTCTAGTCCTTCCTTTGGCATGAAAGCCAGCTGGGTGACCTTGGCCAGTCATTCTCTATCAGCCCAACCTACCTCACAAGGTTGCTGTTGTGGAGAAAATGGAGGAGGAAGATTATTTATTTAGCTATTAATCAAATTCATATGGCTACCCATTTCATGAATGGTGATTCTGGGCAGCACACAGCAATCCAATAAACAGTGTGCATATAAAACAATTATAACCTAAAACCATTATATAATAATTATTTTAAAAAGCATTACAATCTAAAAAGCAAAGCTAAAACAGAAAAATAAAATAATAGATGGAGGGTTGTTAAAAATAACGTATTCCAGAATTCTACAAAATTCCACAATGCGGGTGCCACATCAGAAAAGGCCCACTGCCTAGGACTAACCAAACGTAGCATTATCTTTGTTTTCCTCCTTGAGTTATTTTTAAAAAGAATAAGAGGCAGAATAAAAAATAATCTGGAAAATAAATTGGTTGTAAATGTATGCTTTGGTCAGAAGATTTTTTTTTTTAATACTTGCCTTTGTATTTGCAAATATTCACAAAACAATAGCTGCTAAACAAGGAGTTGATGTACAGGTTATGATAATTGAGAACAGGATTGTTGTTGCTAGGTGATGCAGTCATAAAGTGCAACTTCACATGACCAAATCACTTAGTATCCCAGTCCCAGGTGTAGTTGTAATCTGAGACACTCAGGTCATTAAGTGGGAAGCAGGAATCCCAGGTAAGGAATTTTATTTCTGCAGCATCAATAAGGCAGATTTTAAATGCTGTTGCTGTTATATTCTGCTTACATGCTTTTCCTAGAATCTTATTGGCTACTATGGGAAACAAGTTTATGTGTCTTATAATATTTATCCACTTGCAGTAGAGAAGAAAGCTGGAGTAACATGACAATCTAGATCCACTGTAGCTTTTTTTTTCTCTTGCACAATTATCATGTTGATAATCCTGATACATTTTGCAATGGAAGTGAGATAGGCTAACTTTACATTTCTTTTTATACAATAATCAGTATAGATACTAATCTAAATTTGCATTTATTTGCTAACGAGCTTATGTTAACAAACTCTGCTATAACACCCTGATTGTTTGAAAATCACATTTGTGACTAGAATATTACTTTCATGTGCAATTTTCAGGGGGAGAGGTCTATACCTTTGGCCTAGGTCAATATGGGCAACTTGGACTTGGTACATTTATCTTTGAAACTTCTGAACCAAAGATAGTAAATCATCTGGAAAAGCATAAAATCTGTAACATTGCAAGTGGAGAAAACCACACAGCTTTAATAACAGGTACACATGATGTTAACTTTGGTGCTACATTTGCAGTGTTTTATGATATTAAAGGTCAATAGATCTTCATAGTACTAAATAGATTTCAAAGTAATACTTTAATTGTTAATTTTAGCAATTTTTTTTAAAAAAATGGTGACTAAGTTCACATGTAATTGTTAACCAATGGGTTTGCATTGGGATAGTGGCCTGGGTTAATCACTCAGTGTTACAACTGCTTTCTCATAGGTTCAGATTTTCCCATGTGTTTCATTATTCTGAAAACAAATTGGCATTAAATGTGAATATGGCAAATTGTGATTCCTCTCCAAATCAGAAATGGAGGCAGTACAAATAATAATCATATTATTGCTAAGATGTATAAACTTTTATTAAAAATGAAAACAGAGGATGAACTCCTAATGAAAAGCCTATTTTACATGTTGAAATTCTAAAGTATAGAATTGCTGCTAGAATAACAGTTTTGTCTGCAGGCTGAGGTATTAACATGTTTCTTTGTACTTAGAGAATGGTCTTATGTATACTTTTGGCGATGGACGGCATGGCAAATTAGGACTTGGGAAAGAAAATTACACAAATCAGTTTGTACCTACATTATGTTCCAATTTTTTGAGGTATACTGTACATTTGGTAAGTCTTCAGTTTCCTATTTATGCTTTGAAATAAGTATCATCTGGCATTTAAAATATCTGATTATTTAAAAATAGTATGCTTCATTTATTTTTTATTATAGATGAACTCTGAAGTCATAAAGTATAATTTTATTCATCATTCCATCTTTACATTTTAGTCTACATTTTATTTATATTAACAAAAAATTGATTTAATGTTATCCAAATAAAAACATATTATAATATGCAATGATAAGAAAAAGAAGAAAAAGTGGCATGATAAATGTTTCATTTGCATACAAACTTTTCATTCAGTTATATTATTTGAAAGATATTTTCAAAGATTGTGAAAGAATGATATATTTCCAATATTTTCCTATATCTTTGGATGATGTTGATTGATACTTCTTTTGTTAATTACTTCAGTAAACATGGACTAGTCCCGTGATGGCGAACCTATGGCATGCGTGCCACAGGTGGCACGCAGAGCCCTCTCTGTGGGCACGCGTGCCATGCCCCAGTCCTAGGCCTTCAGCTAGGTTTTATAAAACCTTTTCGCTTTAGGCCTCCGCCGCCATGTGCAAAAAAAAAGGTTCAATCAATCAATTTCAACTTCTCACGGAAAAAAAAAGATCTCGCAAAGTTGGAATTGATTGATTGAACTTTTTAGTCCCACCCAGTCTGCCATTATTACCACAGTCACGCCCACCCAATGGGCCACACCCGCCCACCCAGCACCCGATGATACATAAGTGGGTTTTGGGTTGCAGTTTGGGTACTCGGTCTCTAAAAGATTCGCCATCACTGGACTAGTCCATAATTGTTCATTTTAGCTTGTTTTTGAACTCACTATATTGTCTAAAAAAAAATTCTGTAACAAAATATCCCATACCCGTAAGTTTTAGTCATCTATACCAGCTCCAATCAGATCTTTCAAAAATCTAGCAACCCAACTTTATGAATTGCAGCCATTAAATATTCCACTAAGGCTGCATGTTACATTTTTATTTAATGATTACACTGGTCTACAAGGAGAAAGCCTCGGAAATGAAAGTAGCAAAATTTTACCAGAATTGGGTCACTAATGAAGGAAAATTAAGTCCTGAGTACGAATTGGTTTCCAAGATACAGCTTCAGGTCAAAATTGCATCAAAATAATTCAAAATTACAAGGGGATGTGCAATTATAACTTTTCTGCAAAATGTGATATAGCAATGATAATGGTGCCACACCAATCATTATAAATTTATCTTTTTATTGATACCAATAACATAATTTTCCATTCATTCATTGGTTTTCCATGTAACATTTTCATGCTTTTTCACTCTGTAATCTGGAGCCCAGTAGCTCTGCATTACTCTTAGGCAATTCCAAATCCCTGACCAGGTCATTTAATTCACTCTGTAAAATTAGATGTGGTTCAGGAGGAGCATACGATGGGCTAAAGTTTGGGTCCACTAGCCCCGGATCAGCTGCATCCTGCTCATCATCTTTATCATCATCTGAGTCTAGAGATCAGGATTGTGGTGAATCTGGAATTGGCAAGTCCTCACCATGGGGTACAGGACACAGTGCGGATGGAATGTTTGGATATTCCATGATCCACTTCTTCTTTCTTGAGATCCCTTTTGCAATTGGGGGAACCATGCAAAAATAGCAGTCGCTACTGTGATTGATGGGTTCCCTCCACACCATTGGGACTGTGAAAGGCATGGACTTTTTCTTCTTCTTTAGCCAATAATGCAGATACATTGCACATATAATGCAACAATAATGAGGGGCCCAACTCTTGTCCTGATCCCCTATTTTGCATCCAAAACATAGGTGGTATGCTTTTTTTTAACCACTGCTATCATATTACACTTTTGAGGTGCAAATGTAACCTCACCACAAATGTAGCAGAAGTTATCTACATAATTTACACAGTTTTGAGGCATCTTGGCTTCCGAGGGAAAATATCACGCAACTGTTCCTTGGAAATGTTAGACAATGACGCTTTCACAAGACACCAGATGTAACTATATGATGCGTAGATCTGACCAAGAGAAATGTGCCTTGCAATAAAAAAACAAATTACAGTTGAGTAATAATCGTTAGTCTCAAAGTGAAGATAAATTTATACACTTCCATGTGGTACCATTTTCATTGTTCTACCATACTTTGTTGAGAAGTTACAAGGCATCGTGATCATTAGACACCTCCCTCCCTCCCTTGTAGGCAAACATACTCGCCTGTGTATAAATCTTTATTGTGAAATATCTTGAAAACTTTAGCCAACCAGCAACTTTACCACCTGTTTTCTAATTTATCTAATCAAAATATGTAAGAATTAACACATTTTATCTCGGAGGTCAATTATTTCCCAAAATTTGTAGACCAATGTTACTACAAATTCAATAATGCCAACTAAAGAGTATTATTTATTTGTTGTGCAATTTGTTCTATTTCCTTAAAACCTGTTCCCAAATAAATTTAAACTTATCACAAAGTTACTGTATATGGTAAGATGTTCCCCTAATTCTATATTCTACAATTGGGAGGTGGTGTTTTTTTTAATGTGTGAAACCCGTACTAGGAACTTTATATTCTATGAATCATCTTTAAGGGAAACTCTTTTTTTAAAAAAAAGTTTTATTAATTTTTAAGAATTACAGTCTTTAGTGCTTAGTAAACAATATGTTGTCTGGGTTCAAATATTTAACATTGACTTCTTCAATATAAATCTGTTCAATACCACACAATC